CATGCATAAATAAGCCAACAATATAAAATATTTGTTCCTTCCCCTTTGAAAAAAAATAATTCTATAAATCCACAGAAGCTAGATCATTATTAACTCAGAATCAAGTCCATGACTTCATGTCTTCAACTCTATGTGATTATGGTAAGCTGGATTTCAGACCCTTCTTTCATTATACCTCCAATATTCAGATTCTAAATATAGAATGCAGGTGTTATAGACACCTAAAATCTTAAATTTCATAGACTTAATGAACCCAAAGAACATTAATTTCATTAACTCTTCCAGAAGAACAACTAAGTTATTAAAAGATTTATTAACGCATATCTGTATCTATCATTCTGTGGCAGCTGATGCTATTACATATGTCCTTTTTCCTAACACCTCTTTTCCCTTTTAGTGGGTATTAACACGCTCCATCAGTGTGGCATCATTGGGCATGGGGCACTGAAAAACTTCACACGGGAATCAAAGGTCCTGTCTTTGTCCTTCCTTCTTATTTCTCTAAGCCTCTATTCTCTCATGGCTAGTAATTCACCCCAACACTGGGCATCAGCGTGGGGAATGAGAGATAACAAGAAAGTTGAGGAAAGTTGCTGAGAAGGACTTGGCATCCATTTCCCAGGGGGTTACAATTGTATTAGTCAGATTACATTGACTTATTTCCTGCTTACACAACTGGACAACATTGGTGTTCCTGATTGGAGAACTCTTTGGGTTGGTTCTTTTCCAAGCAGTAATTCAGGGAATCAGGCTCCCACCATCTGTGACTCTTCCTTCCTCTTGGGTCTCCAGAGTTCTAGCCATTTCTCCAGAGAATGGGAGGTTGGGGGAGGGAGGAGATTACCAGATCTGGAAGTAGACACAGCAGTTCCACCCAACTTCCATGGGTGAGAGCACAGTTATGTGGCTACAATTATCTGCAGGGTGGTGGAAAATAGAGGTGTGTGTTCAAGACATTTGGTGAGTCATTTACCATTTTTGCAAACCAGACTGCAGCACCATAAGAGGTATCCAGCTTACTTGTTACACTGAAGTACTTTGATGTCTGATGTCACTTGAAACAAATAGAACATGTAATTCCTTTTATACCTATATTTTAATTGTAACAGAAATATCAGTATTTGACCCATATTATATAATACAAAAAAGAAACAAGACATTGTTTGGAGAATTATCATAATGTTTTTAGTATGGGGCAAATATAATAGATATAAATTAGGTTTTTTTATTCAAACACTCTGAGAGTACAGATGTTATCATTATAGAGGAGATACTATTATAGAAACACAGTAACTGGAGATTGTAAAAGAGATCTAGATTAGCACACCTTATACATAATAGATTATAAGAAATTTCCTGACAAAGGCTTGATAATTTTACCATGCGCTCAAATTGCTGAAATATTTATTGATCAGTGCTGATATAATGTGAAAGGCTTCTCACTTGTTTTTCCACAGAGTTGACATATTTAAATAAACCCTTCCACCCTAGACAAGGTGGCAAAATATTTAAAATTAAGGTTATTGTATGGTCTTCACAAGTCTTGCTCTTACCTTCTAAAAGGAAAGCAAGCAACTTTTATGCTTCCTTTTTTCTTAAACAAAGATTTCTATTTTGAACAAAACTTTTGGTAATTGTGTTTTTGCTAATGAAATGTTAGCAATTGCAGATATTCCTAGTAGTTGTGGAAACAATCATAATTCCTTTGGGAGCAACCACAAGATGTATAAAGTGGTTGGAGTGCCAACCGAGGAAAGGAGTGGGAAAGGAGAAAGAGAGACAGAAGGAAAATAAATCTAAATATTATGGCAGAAAAATCAACTTTCTGTCTAGGAAATGCCTGCATACATGGAACGATACTTGCAGATTGTAAGGTGCTGCTTATAATTTTGGGGAATGGATAACTTCTTTTAAGTATAAGGAAGACTTTGGGGCTTAAATCGCAAAGTCAGAGCGTACCAGAAGGATTCTCAGGAACCACCTAACAACATCCTGTCTGTTCTATGTGATACACTGACATTAATAACTGAGAAAATATTTCACTAAAGTTAATCAACTAATGATGAAAACAAGTGCTGTCCACTTGTACTAAAGGATCTGATACCATATTCACAATCTGCTTAGCCTATTGCACAATTTACTGTGCATACCCCCATGTGCACAATTTACCACAGCCCATGGTACACCTGTTACTCATTCACCGTGGCTAAAGAGCACTGTGTGCTACCCGGGGACCTCCTTGAAGGCATCCATATCTTCCCCATTTTTGCATATGGGGAAAAGAGTAGAGTCCAAGTAAAAGTCTATGACATGAAACCTCAGCAAGTGAATATGGCTGATATCCAGATGGCCTCCTCCTCTCAACGGCTTCCTTCTGCCTACTCTTGTTTGTTTCTAGACTTGCTGCTTTGAGGATCGTCTTTTAGGTTTCTTTCTCACCACTAGAGGGCAGGAAATGCTTTGCAAAGGAAAAACAACCCCACTAGTGGTGGTGTTATTATTAAACTTTCTCCCACCCCAATAATTGACTTCATCATAAGAAGATCAAAGCTATCCCAAATTCTAAGCCCTTTAGGAAAATGATTGCATTCTTCACATTCACAAACATATTTGTTTCATTGATGTTTGATTCAAGTTGATTCCTTTGGATTGTCATAATGTCCAGGCCTTTCGCTACAGAGAGCACCTCCTGATTCACTCACATAAAAATTGCCTCTACTTAAAATATATTATAAACAGCAACACCATAAAAATGCAGTCATGTCATCCTTGGATATATGAGGCCTCCTTGCGTTTTTATTTTGGGTGGCCTTTAGTGGAGACTATTCCATTTCCAGAAGCTAAAGTGAACCCCACACATGTCCTTAACCTTTTGAGTAATCAGATTAGATCTCAGGTATCCGTGGTGTTTTTGTTGACCAATGTAGATTAATCAAAATTTGATTTGTGCTTTGCTTCTTAAATTTTCTCCTCATGTTTAAACTGTAGTCCCTTCCATTGTGAGTGGAGTCACAGTGAACAATTCTGGGCGTAATGACTACCTCAGCATTTCCTGGCTGCCAGCTTCTGGAGACGTGGATAACTATGTAGTGACACTCCATCATGACAGCAAGGTAGTCCAGTCCCTCGTTATTGCCAAGTCTGTCAGTGAGTGTTCCTTCAGCTCCCTTACTCCTGGCCGCCTCTACAATGTGACCATAACTACAAGGAGTGGCAAGTATGAAAGTCATTCCTTCAGCCAAGAGCGGACAGGTAAGGCTCTGTGAGCTGGGGTGGAGGGAGAGGTGGGAGGCCTTCTCTAGAAGTACCATCTTCTCTAGAAGTACCATCTTCTCTAGAAGTACCATCTGGCTCTGAATCTTTGATCAACAGTGATTCTTTGATATACTATTAGACTATTAAGATCACACAATTGCCATAGGAGTCATCATATTTTTTTTCTTTTTTTTTTTATTAAAAAGTTTATTTTTACATCATTTTGCAC